AATCATCGCACCACAGCAATATATGTGAGCCCATGTTTATAGCAGCACAATTTGTCATAGCTAATTCTTGGAAACAACCTATATGTCCATCAGCTGAGGAGTGGAGAAATACAATATAGTATTTTTACACAATGGAGTATTATTCAACTATAAAAAAGATAAATTCAAGGCTTTTATAGATAAATGGATTCAGGTAGACACTGGTAAGTGAAGTAAATCAGATCCATATATGCAAGTATTGTATTATCTCACTAGTGTGAGAACCTGAAAGAGCAATTAAAATCTAAAAGGTACAACAGACACTGAGAAAAGGAAGGAAATGTTTCAAAGAGGAGGCAAAACAGGGGTGAGGAAAAGGACAAATGAAAGAAGAAAATAAGATATATTTAGGTATATAGACAGAACAGTTTGGATAATTACATTGTTGACTTCTGCTGATCTTTTGAAAGGACCAGTTAATGTTAAAATTTTTTTTTTACTCTATTTTTTTTCTTTCTCCTTTGAATTTCTTATAACTTCTCTGTTACTTTTTTTTTGTTTGTTTAAACAAATCTTACATGTTTATTTCTGGTAATCTGAACAACTAAATTGAAGATAGCATCATGTAATACAACAACCACTGTTGAATTCCCATTACTTTGTTTAGTTTAATCTTGTATCATTTCTAATGCTGTTGTTTTTCTATCACTATTTTGTATTTTTTTTAAAAGTATAATAATAAAATCAGAGTAATACACATTTCCATGTTTTTAAATCAGTTCATTGATTTTAAATAGTAGTTATCATTTTATGTGATAGAAATTTCATGCTCTTCTAGTCATTTTTAGGTACAGATTGTCTTAACCAACAGCTACCTTACTGTGCTATAAGCAGGAAGAGTTAATTTCTCCCCTGTTTTGGTGCCTCGTACTTTATTTCTTTCCACTCTGTGCAGCGCCTTTCTCTCTGTAGTGCCCACTCTTCAACTCTATACTTCTGGCAGATCTACTTTTGAGTTTCCACAAGTGTGTGAGAACAGGTGACCTTGTCTCTCTGTATCTAGCTTATTTTGCCTAACAGAACAACCTCCAGTTTAATGTGTGCTGCAGCCTGTGACATTATTACTTTATGGCTGAATAATACTGTGTAGCTGCATCACATTGTCTTTATCCATTCACTAGTTGATGGCCTCTAAGGTTGTTTCCATTTCTTGGCTACTGTGCATGGTGCCGCAGTAAATGTGAGAGTGCACGTATCTTTTTGGTATAATGAGTTCATCTCCTTTGGATATATACTAAGTACTAGACTTGTTGGGCCATGACATTGTTTGTTGAGAAATTTTCACATTTTCCAGGATGTCTATGCTCATTTATAGTACCACAAACAGTGTGTGAGAATTCTTTCTTTGTATCCTTTCCCGCACTTGTCATTTCCCCCGGTGACAGTTATTCTAACTGGGATGAGATGATACTTCATCGTGGTCTTGACTTGCCTTTGCTAGGTCATTAGTGAGTTTGAGCATTTTTTTCATATACTTTGCTATACATAGTTCATGGTTGACATTTTTTTCTTTCACAACTTGAAAATATCGCTTCCTCTCTTCTGGCCTGTAAAGTCACTGCCGAGGCTTCTGAAGATGTGTGCTCTTATGTTAGAGAATCAGGCGCTGATGGCACTTGGGCTCATGGTAACAGCTGCTGTGTTCTCTGTGGTGCAATCTGTGGAGAAAACTGTGCCTGTGTCCTTTGGGGCAAGTGCAGGTGGCGCCAGTACTTGTGACTCCAGCAGATAGAGTCCCACGTGATAGGATGAGAAGAAGCTCATCCCTGGGGTGCTCAGGATGAGTGCAGGAGGTGCCTGGACCTGCCATATGGGTAGCTAAGGTATCGAGCCACAGGATGTGCTGGGAACTTATCTAGGTCCTCGGCACAGAGGTTGCTGAGGTTGCTGGTAACGATGGACTGAAGCTTGTGGAGTGCAAAGGGGACCTTACAGAAGCCCAGAAGTGTGAAGCTAGTGTCTCTGGGGCTTGAAGGATGGGTAGCTACTTTCCTAGAGTTCTGGGGTTCAGAAGATACCTTTCCAGGTCCCAGCAGACATGCACAGGAGATAGCCCTTTTGGCACCAGAAGCTGTATTCCTGTGTCCATGAGAGAAGACCTTCCCTAGGTTCTTTGAGGAGAGTACAGGTAGCATTTGGGCTTGTGGTGCAGGTCTTCATGTGCTCAGGGGTTCAGGATCTGCAGGAGACCTAGCCTAGTTCCCATGGGTTGAGCAAGGGTAATGCTAAGCTTTGTAGACTTGGTGTTTGTGGTATGGGACCTACAAGGTGTGGATAGAAACGTCTCTCATGCACGTGGGCACATCCTAGCAGGGCTGAGTCTTGTGCTGGTGTTTATGGTCCTAGAGCTGAAGGATGTGGGTGAGGCCTTACAATTTGAAGGAACAGGCTTGTGTGATGGAGGGGCGCTCTTCCAAGCTCCTGTAGGTCAGTGCAGGTGATGCAGGGTTTGAGGCACTGAGCACCACAATCCCAGGGCCTTGGAATCTGCTTTGAGATCTTTTTCAGCTCCAGAGATGGGTGAAGCCATACTTGCAGCAGCAGCAGCAGCCGCCACAGACCCAGGTTTGGGGGAGAAATTTCCCAAACTCCCATTGAAGGGATTTGGACTATGGTTATGGCAGCTGTTGGCTCTGAAGCTGTAGGATGCTGCTAGGGTTGTTCTTGCTCTGTGTCGTGTATACAGGCCAAAGGCTTTTGGGGTCTGGCTGCCAGTCCCCAAGGCAGGATGGTGCTTGGTAGTAGCTGCTGTAATAGCTTGGGTGAGACTCAATATGATTTCCTTATTTGGAGTAAAGCAGTAGTCCTTAGATAGCCCCACATCCCGACTGGATTTAAAGTGTGTGAGGGCTGTGGTCTCTCTTACCGTGAGGACTGCCGGTCTCCTGCTGTCATGGCCACTGCTAATACTTTCTTGGACACTTGTCTCAGAAGTGTGGAGTCCGCCAAGCTGGGGGTGAAATGGAAATTTACTATTTTTCCCCCCTCTAGGTTGCGGAGTCTCCACTGCTTCCTGTGATCACTGCCTTCAAACTACACTTTGAGTATTTCAGCAGCTTAGACCAGCTAAATGCTTTTGATGTGTTAGTTACGGTTGTGGAGCTAATAACTTGTGCTTCGATGTCTACAGTGACAGAACCATCAAAGTCAACAACAGTGAAGGTTCCCATCTGCTTTCTAGTTTGCAGTAAGGGAACCGAGACAACGGGTCTAGTGGACCTGCAGCTGACGTACGAGCTGCTCAGGCGGGCATGGCAGCAGGGCGAAAGGTCTGATGTTTGCTTTATCAGTGCTGGAGGGTCCCGAGTGGTGTGGGAAAGATGGCCTTTGTCACATGACAGCTTGCAGGGAGCTGGGCGCTGAGTTCATATCATAAATCAGATTCGCTTGTATTTTCCTTTTTGCCTTTGGCCTTGAACAGAATTTGCGCAGCTATTCTGCTTTTGTCTGTGCAAATGTGAACTAGGAACAGAGTCTGGACTTCTGCTGGAACATTCAAAGGGAGGTAAAGCCAGTCTGACGCTAGCAGTGGTGTCTTCTGAGGTGGCCCTAAGAGAAAAGTGAGTCGCAGAGAGCCCAAATGGGTGTGGGGAGGCCTGGTCCATAGAGGACATCCTCTCCTGTTTGTCTTCAAGATGGAGTCTGGTTGTGTTAAAAAAAAAAGTGGTTTGCTTCCTCGTAAACGCCCCTCTGCTTTGGGCTGTGGTAGGGCTTTTTGGTTCTGCCAAACAATGATGGATTCTGCGATGGTCACACAGACTATGGACCGGGGATGATGCGCTTTTCAGTGCTTTCAATAACCAACAGCTGACTATGCCACTTGTGCCACAGGCTTGTCACAGGGCTGTAGGCTACCTGTGTCCTTAAAAGGACAGAGGTGTGTGGTTGTACCTTTGGAAACAGCTATTTAAAAAGTTACATAGAAATGAAATCAGACACAAGGAAAATTCAAAAGCTCTTTTAGCCTCTCATTCCTCTGAATTGGAGGATTGGCATAATGGCGGATTTCTGACCCACTATCGAAGCCATTGTGGCATTTGTGTAGTGCTCCTGTGACATTAAGCCAGATAGAAAAGTGCAACTGTTGCATAACTGCTGATGGTTTTGGCCTGCGCTGGTCTTCCAGCCTGTCTTTTAAGCTGAGGGCTTTTGTTCACTGACCTAAACAAGGGACAGTCTCAGGCGCCCCCCTTCACTGGTGACACTGGTGGCTGCAGAGCTATCACCAACTAGCTAGGCTTCCCGCCTGGCTGGTCCAGTTGTATCACCAGTTATAATAAAGCGTGTTTCACAGAGATTCCTCTGATCGTAGCATTCCAGGACTTTCTTGGGAGGAATTTGTTTTGGCTTTTACAACTATGCTGTGTAAATGTATGATGAAGCAGATAATTATACAGGAGAATTTAGGACTGATCCACATGCCCAAACCTGATGTTCCTTATGTAATCAGATCTTTGGAGCTGGTATATTGTGGTCCCAAAGACATATGATATTGCCTCCCCACATCGTGCCTTTTTTGGTCTAAGAAAATTATTCTTAGTATTGTCTGTCATCTCACACTGTTGACCCTGGGAAATTAATTTTTCTGCATATATGTGTCTCTAAAAACCTATCTTTTACTACGTTGCTCACTTCTGGCAAAAAAATCACGATTAAAAATAGGTGAAATGGTCACCAAGTATTTAAAAACATGCAAAAGCACCGCTTGCGGTTCCTCTCAGCAGTGCCAAGATTTCTCAGAGCAAACCTATTGAGGCTGCACTTCAGCTCTGAGCTCAGGCAAAGGTGATAAAAATAGAAAGAAGGGGTTCTGTTCTTTATGAAATAAGACAAATTATGCTTTGGGAGAATATAATTTGCTATAAAGCATAAAAATGTTTTAATATTTATATCTTATAATAAAACCATGACATGTTTATAAACACTCTGTCCAGCATTTTTACAATGGGGGCCACCGCTGACATCAGGAAACGCAATAAATATTCACAGACACACTGAGTATGAAATATACATCTTGATTTTATAATTGTGTGTGCTTTATTTTTTACACAAATGGAATGGAAGTGTTGAATATTTACACTAAACAGGAGTGCAAGCCGTGCAGTGTCTCTGTAAACTCTAGCCCAGGCCAGGGTGACTCCCCTCCCCCTTGCCTGCACTGCAGCTTCGTGAAGACATCCTGTCAGAGAGAAGCACAAAATCGTCATATTGAAAGGGTCTAACAGGTACAATCTGGTGCACTCCGAAGTTAAGACACACTTAGGAAACACAAATTCAAAAAGGAGAGAAGAAAAGTTTGCCATCCCGTTGGGAGCGGACCTTACCACGTGGCTGTCTGTCCTCATGAGTTGATAGGGAGATACAGTACGGTGCTTTATTTTTAGCTGATCTTTGTCTCAGTCGTCTGCCTGTCTTACCCTGTCTTCAGCTGCTTCAGGAAACTGCACAGCTGTACAAGAAATGATTTCTGATGCACAGACTTCAGTGAGGAAGGCTATTTACAACTGGAGTGTGTGTCCAAGCATACTCACTCACACCTAGGGTACTCTGCGCACACGTGATACGCAGGCCATCCATGCCGTGTGGACGCAGAAACACAACGAATACCTACAGACTTCTGAAGGGAGTTTCCTGGAAAATAAGTTGTCACAGGAGGTACTCCACGTGCTCTAGGGAATTGATCCTTAGGAAATTCCCCCCTCCTCAAGAGTGACAAATTAGTACAATAAATTTAGGAACACTAGTCTGGGTCCTTAAATAATTTTGCAGGACTTGTAGGCAGGACCAAGACAGGAAAAGAGATATTTGTCACCAGCAAGTCCATTCAATCTCACCAGAGCAGTCACCAGCCAACAAGGAGAGGGGCTTCATGTGAAAATGGAAAAAAGGAAAAAAAAATCTCTCTCCAAACCAAGGTGATGGCATGGCTTTAATGAGAAGAGGTTTGCCATTAGAGTCACCATCGGGTCAGGGTCTGCCTGTGCTGAAAGGAAGTGTCCTCGGAGCTGGGCGGTGTTGGGCGCGGGCTCCTACGGGCCCAGGGAGGACAAGGGGCCTGGGTGCCCACAGAGCCCCAGCACGTGCATCCTCGCTGCAGGGCAGCGGTGCAGGCTGGCTCCGGGAGGGCCGGAGCTGGTCCAGGCCAGGGCCTTGTGCTCAGCTTTCCTTTCTAGGCTGAGCAGATAAGTGGTGACCCCGAGAAACTGTGTCATTAGTCCAGAGGATGGACGTACTGTCTGAGTGAGCCATGAGCCCTTATAGGATGAAACAGTGAAGCAGTTGGGTAGAGGAGCTCTGACACGTGGGAGCAGAGGGGGAGGGTAGGACAGGAAAGGAGGGGAAAAAGGAAGAGCAGAGCAGCAAGACAGAAACGAAAGGCAAAGGGCCAGCGAGACAGGGAGGGTGTGAAGGATCACGCAGCAAGATCGAGGAGTTCGGTAAGAGAGGAAGGATAAAAGGGGGGGGGAACCAGGAAAAAGGAACGGGAAGAGACACAGGGAGCGTTGTGGAGAAAGTCAAGGGGAAATCAGCGAGAGCCAGAGGCCTGGAGAGCTTTGTCCTCTGGCCCAGGGTCCTGCAGGGCTGGCAGTGGGGTCTCAGACAGTTCACAGAGGCACCGAGCGCAGCTTTGTACAGACAGACTTGCCAAGCGAAGAGAGCCAACCCGAGAATTTGGGGCTGGAAGAAAAGGCCTGCAATAAATGGCTGACAAATCCGATGGGAGGAGAGCAAAGAACAGGCGCCCCAGCGATCGGCCGGCAAGTTGGGTTTTAATTTTGGTAAAGCTGTGACCCCCGTGGTGCTACACATTGTACCAGAGCATGAAAAATAGCACCAGTGACACGATCTGGCACTTTTCTGAAAGGGCCCAGCATGTGAAGGTGACCTTGCGCCCCCAGCAAGCCTTCAGATTGGAGAAAGCTCCGGACAAAGTTTGCAGTGTTAGCACCAGTCTGGCCCCAGGCTCCAAGCACGTTTGCGCCAGATGTAATCTGGGTAATTTGCGGACCGTTTCCGGGCAAGTCATCACATTCGCTGCAAAATACACCAGCTCCCTGGAGCCTTAGAGACCTCAATGCTGGGAAGCACGAGACTACACAACAAATGGAGGTGTGTGTTCTCTAGGAAAAGACCCTCTCACCAATCTGCTTGGTGATTCTTCAAGCAAATATATATATGTCTATATTTATATAAATATACATAAAAATCAGTGCAAATGCCAATTCTAATCCAGAAGCATCTACACTAGGAAAATAAAGAATTGAATTACTACAAATCCAAGGGTTGGTGGTTCAATTTGATTGTACTTAGCCACGGCAATACTATTAAATGGAAAAGCACATCACACGACCCAAGAAAACGTCTACTCATTAGTGACAGTCCTCTAAATAAAACGATTGCATGCTCAGTTGAGAAACCAAAGAAGTTATCATGGTGGCCTAAAAATAGAGCGGGTATCAGGAGTGGCATTCTGGTGGCAGAAAGCTTCTGGGAGCAGTGCTGGGGAAAGCTGGGCTTGCCCTGAGCCTGGTGAGCTGCAGGTGCGGACACATCCTTAGCGTTCGGAGCACTCTACGGACTCTGCAAATTTAGCTTTCCGCGGAGGGAAAACGCACTGCTAGTCCTTGCATCAGAATGGCAGAGGCGGCCTCAGGACTAGAGGGTGATAAATAATTTTGCGTTTTTGTATTGGTTTTGGTGACTGCAGACAATGGTGCTATAAGATGGACAACCCTTGTTTTTGGAAAGAGACTGATTTTCGGGCTCCAGTGTTCTAACGTGAAGCAGCCCCATCACTCCTGATGGCTCTGTCTGTCTTTCTGCCCCAGCCTCCTGCTGGCGGCTGCACAGTGTAGCAGAAGGCCTGCCAGGTCTTGGGATACCCCAAAAATAAGGCGATGGGGCTTAATCTGGGTGTGCGTGAACCCCAGAATTGAGTGGTTATGAGTATCACTGAAAAGTCTCTCTTCAACCCCATGGGCAAAACCAATGCTGATGTCACTATCAGCTCTAAAGTGGGAAACTAACGCTTCTGTTTCAGTTTATAGGCGTTGGGAGGTTTCTTTTTAGAATCATCATTATAATAATTGTTGAAAAATAAACTTGGTCCAGGTGCAGCCTTGAGGCGGCCGGTTCTAGTGGCTGAGCTCACGGCCATGAATTGTCTTTCTGGCTCTCTTTGCTCTACACACTGAAACAAAAAGCCTGCATGCCTCACCCTCAACCAGATGCTTCTCTCTCTTCCTCAAAGATATGGTACATCTTGGACAGTTCTCCCACGGCTCTCAATCCAACTCTGGGTAGCACAAAACTCTCTACTCTGTGGAACAAAACAGTGACCCCAATGACTCACAGTTGGCCAGACTACTAAATGATCCTTTAAGAATTATATGCAAGTCACTAGGAACAAAGTGACCTATTTGCATGGTAGGGTCAAGTTGTTTGGAGAAAAACAAAAGCTTCCTTTATGTCACTTGCATGAATTTGTGTCTCAAGAGCCGTCAGGTTAAAAATATAAGAATCAAATGTCTTCCAAAAATATCCATGAGGGCAACTCATTAAGGGATGTGCTTCGTAAGAGTGTCACTAGTGTGCCAGGGGACCACGGGCGCTACATGAGGGCGAGGTCTGTGGCAGACTCGGAAGGAATTTAGGCGCTGTCAGTGGATCATTGGCAACAAAGGGGGAGTGCAACTTTCGGCTCTCAAATTTGATCATCTGATAGTGCATACAGTCAGTCTTTCAATGAATTCGTCTTTACAAAATATTTCACAAAACTTTTTTAACCTATAGAAATTTGTTTCTATACATTTAATATATTTTTATTGTATAAATTATTCTCATCTTTAGTGCCTTCTTTCAGTCTATAAATGGCAAAATAGACAATCACCGATCATGAAGCTAACCCCAGGTAGAATCCCCTCCTTGGTAAGGTTAGTCTCCATACACTTGTGAATTTTATGAAATGCTCGTCTTTGAAGATGCCAGTCAATGCAACTACACCAATATCCTTCCCTGATAGCATGTCGTCTCCAAAAGGACTCTTTGCTTTTTCCTTCTTTGTTCCTTTGCTTGTTAAGAAATCAAAGGATGTGCATAGTTATAAAATTCAAAGTGTACCAATTACAGATGTGGGTAATGGGAAAGTGGTGAGGTTCAAGTGCTGGCAACTTTTCTTTAAAGCAAAAACACAGAGAGCTCAGCAGCTAAATCAGCTCTGGACATCTGCTGGGGCGAGGACCTCGCCCATGTCTTGGGCACAGAGCCCATCAGAGGTTCATCCCTACACCTGGAACTTTCAGCAAATCGTAGCCTTCCTGTATACTGCAAAGTCTTTTCTGTCCCACCCTGTGGCCCCTCCGTTTCCTTCATGGCTTCACACAGTTTGTGTTGTACATTCATAAGAATTCACATTGACTGCAAAAACATAAATGCAACAAAAACATAAAAGCCTCCAAGTAGTGTATTATATATATTTTGTTCTTCTAAATGCTCTTCTGTCATTGTCAGAGGCACCGTAGCTAAATTATAACCTTTCTTTTGAGGGAATCCAGATGAAAGGCCCGGATTGCTCTTCAATAGCAAGCTTGCATTGGTTGTATATATCTTCTAAGGTGTCTCCTTGGACAATAGCTGCAACAAGAGCCAACAGACCTGGAGTTAGGAATCACTGCCTGGTGCAGCCAGCAAACAATAGACACTTGGGGGCGGGCAATGCCTACGGAAGCTTGAGGTCCTTTTTCATCAGGAGGAAAGTGCAGAAAATTCATGTATGCAAGGCATGTCAAGGATTTTTAAAACTGCTTCTAGAGCATGTTCTAGATCAGTAATAAATGTATCACCATCTTTGTACTTTGTGCATTTGTGTGTGGTTGTGCTTGATGGGTAACTCATTTAACAACTCCTTTGAAGCAAGCACAGGAGCAAAGCATCGAAATTTCAGGCTGAGAGCTTCCTATGTAGTAGCGAGACATCCCTAGAGGCTCTTGCTTTACTTTTATTTCTTTTATTATTTTTAAAAAATCTTTTGGAAACACGGTCTTGCTACATAGTTCAGGCTGGCCTTGAGTTCACTTTGGAACCCAGGCTGGTCTCGAACTTGCAACGATCCTCCTGCCTCAGCCTCCAAAGTGCTGGGATTACAGACATGTGCCTCCACATCCAGCTTTTACTTACCTTTGAGCACAGATAGAAGTTCAGAGGTTTTTGACAGAGGAAGTAATGAAGAGTTTTAGAGAAAACTTCAGTTAATCTCTCCAGTCCCTAAGATCTTTTGGAGGAAATCATTCCATATATTCTCTAACTAATCGGGTAGATTCAGATTTCTCTACATAGAGCTATTTATACTGAGAATACTGGATGATTACTACTTGTAAGAAAGATATTAGAGGAAACATAAACTTCTAGGTTGTGAATTACCTAATACAGCAGGCGGTTGGAATAGATTTAAATACATTTCACTCTTTCCATTGAACAAAAGCTATGTAGTAGGCAGATCTCCAAAATATATTAGTACTACTCATAACTCTAAAGCTTAAAAATAAATTGCTATCGAAACATCATTTAAATCTTCAAAAACAGTCCTCAGACTACATCAATTATAATAATTCATTCCTGAGTAAAAAGAATCACTAGTTGGAATGTACATTGTTTGGATTTTCCTACCTGAATGCTCTTTTAAGATGAAACATAACTCACATTTTAGTTATTATTAGATGCTCTAATATCATTCAATTAAAAATATTTACAACTGCTATACTGCTGACATTTTCTGTATTAGGAGTAAGATTAAAAAGTAAAATATCTAATTTGATAATAGGTAATACAGGAGGAAAGCTCTTATTTTTGAACTAGTGAAAATAAGTTAAAGCAAATTCTACAAAGTTTGATCAGTTTCTCTGTTTCATCAGTGACAGCCTTTAGGAAAGAGGGCTTAAGGCCTATAGCAAAGAAAAATTATTGTTTTCGTCCCAACCTTCATGTTTCCCAAGAAACACGTGAAAAGGAAAGAAAAGGCTTTGTGCTGAGACTCTTCAGAGTGCAGGGACCCACGGGCAGCATGTGTGGTCCAGGGTGGAAAGGCAGAGCCAGGTCTGTCCAGGGGGAGGACACAGGTCCTGAGGGTGCTGCTCCAGGGCTCCTGCTGCTATGTGTTCTAAGCCCGACTGGTTTCTTTCCAGATCCTCGGACATGATCAGGGAGACGGCACGAGGTAGCCGCGCCTAACACCTCCGGGACAGCAGGAGATAACTCAGGGGCATCCGGCCCTCCCGGGTTTTGGTAGGGCTAGCGGACCCTGAGCAACAGTTGTATCTGAACTCAGAGGAGAAAGGACCCAGAGCTCTGAATCAACTGGGGACAGAGAACAGAAGCGTAAAACAAATATTAGGGATTCTCTACAGGGAGGATTTCCCAGCTCTGGAGACAGACACCTGAGCTCCTTTCTCGCAGTACAGGGTGAGGAGACCTTACCTGTAAAATATTCTCCAAATTCTTGCTCTAGTTTAATTGCTCGATCGTAAGTTTTCTTGGCTTGTTCCTCCGTCAGACGCTTATTCATCTCCCTGGGGAAATGAGGATTTCGGCTTTAGAACACAAAGGGAACATACCGGATCTCTGAAAATAAAAATCCACGGCAAGACGGAATCCACGCGAGTGTAGTTGAATCTCGGCAGTGGCTTCCTTTATTCAGCACTCCTCAGGTGCTGGGCCACTTCAGCTACCAGTGCTCTCTGCAGGGAGCGCCCTCCCGAAGGGCCCCTCACTCGACTGAAGTGGGGCTGCTCGTCTTAGGATGTGCTGTTCTGGGTGGGTCTCTATTCTGTCCCCTGCGGTACCCTCGAGTAGAACTGAGCTGCTTCTGTGGCAGGTGGCAGGTATCTGCTCATCTGTCCCTTGGGGTTTCCACTTTTTCGGTATCAGTGGTTCTATTTTCTTGTGGGATCTGCACTTTAAATCTCGGCTCTCCCGTCTAAACTTCACTGGATTTTATGTGGAATTGAAGAAAATGTTCCAGGGATGGTCCGAGGCAGGGGGAGCAGGTGGAGGGAAAGGTCTTGGCTCCTCCGGCTCCTCTTGAGCCCTGACCTTACAGAGACCTCTGCCGTCTTGCCTGCTTGCTGTCCTGCAAGGGCTACAGTTTACCCTCTACGTACACTGTCCAAAGCGTTACAGAAACTAGGGCAGCCTCCTTAGCATCGCACGGGCTAAGGAGCTGCTCCACAGCGCTCCCCATCGACTTTTGCTGGGGAGGAGGCACGCCTACGGCAGCAAGCACTCTGAACTACTTCTGTTTTTATGACCAAATAAAAGGCAAAAGACTTGCCGAGGGAGGACCAAATTAAAAGAGACACAGAATATGTCAGAAACAGTAGACTGTCAAGGAGGCTCTAATGAAGTAACCCAGTCAAACAGTGAGCCAGGATGAAGGAGCTCGAGATCAAATATTTTCTACTTTAATAGGCACAAGCGCTCGGTAGGCTAGAAAGAATTGCTTGTACTGTTCTAAAGCACAGTAGAACATTATCATTGGACATTATAAAATAATGTATGTGAAAAATTTGAATGCTTCTAACCCAGAAGTGATGCACACGTAAAGTGACAGTTACAACAGTTATCCTGATCTGATCAATAACACCATATTTGTGTGTTAAAACTGTACTCAATACCCTCTGCATATGGGTATTTACTATGGGTCAATTAAAAACAAAATGAATAAACTCTAAAGCCTGCTTTGTTTATGGTAGGAGAACGAACGATAAAGGAATTATGCCTAGGGCTATCTGTCTCTTTCTGTCAACAATTGTTCTATCAACTGTGTATAAATGTTGAATCATTGTAAGATTATTTAAACTTAACCTAGCCTTAGGGACATGCCAAGGTGAGAGAGAAATGGAATATTTTCTAATGCTAAGACCAATTTATGATTTGCAGCCAGTGGTATAGCTTTGTTCTACCATGGCCTCTAGCTTTTTTTTGTTTGTTTGTTTGTTTTCAGTACCGGGAATTGAACTGAGGACCTTGCACTTGCAAGGCAGGACTTGTGCTGCTGAACTACATCTCCAGCTCCTCTAGTTGCTCATCAAAGTCCAGCCAAGTGAAAATATTTCAGTTGGCCCATCAGAATGCCTCTTTGGTGCATGTAGAATTTCTGAAAGTATCACTGCCTTGTATGCCACCTGGAACACCAGAGACTGAGGTCAGAATATGTGCTATTAGTCAACCCCCTTTCCAGTTCCGGTCTGTGTCATGCACCCGTAACCCCAGTTAATTCAGGCTGAGGCAGGAGCACAGCAGGCTGGAGGCCAGTATGGCACTTTGGCACAATCTTGTGTTCAAGTCAAATAAAAAAGAGAAGGGGTGCCTGGTATGCAGCTCGGTGGTAAAATACTTGCCTGGCTAGCATGCCTGGGGTCCTGGGTCCAATGTCCAGTGTGTTCACAAACAAAACCTCAAAACCCCACCTCCCCCATCGCTCTGCTACACGTGCCCTTGATTTCATGCTCCTCTGAAGCATCGGTTAGGTATGCACTAATATGCTCTGTGCGCTGATGCGGACCCCGCACTGGAGAAATGCTGTGTGTGATGATGTATCAAGGTCTAAATGTGACAGCTGCCATGCTTTGTTCCAGCTGACCTAGCACTCGCTTCTTCCCAGGGAATGCGCAATCATGCCAACTTTGCTCGCAAAGGGACAGCCTGAAGTAGAGTGAGCCCTAGACACGCAGCATTAGTAACGGGATCGCGGTGTTCTGTCATCATCACTACCCTGGGGACCCACGGATGCAGCTGCAGCCACTGCGTCAGCTTCACCGACCTCATTGTGGAATCAGCCTTCAACATGCCTAATGTTTCCTTGGTGCTAAGTAGCTGTGTCAGTGCCTGAAGGCTGAACCGAGTGAGGTGCCTGACAGTTGTGGAAGGGTGGGGGGGCCCTCCTCCCAAGCACCGGATGGGGCTGGCTCCGCTTGTCCTGCTGGACCAAATGCATCACTGCTGTCGCTTTTTGAGGCCCCTCTTCCTCAGGAAACCATTTTTCCTATTGTGTGCTCACAGTGTACAGCTTCCTTTCTCTGAAATAGGACCTGAAGATGCTGCTCCCAAGAGGTGAGGGGCACTTCTTCATCTTTCTATTAATGTTAGCATCACATCTAATACTTGCATAATGCAGCTTATTAGTACAGTGTGGATGACTCTTCAGAGAGGCATCAAATCAAGGGCAAATATACAATAGATGTGTGTTTTTTAGGGGATAACTAAGGATTGACTCCAGCACCTCAAGCATGCTAGGAAGTGCTCTACGACTGAGCTAAATCCTGTCCCAACAGCCTTTTAACTTTTATTTTGAAACAAGGTCTTGCTAGGCTCTTTAGAGATTTTTTTTTTTTTTTTTTGTATTTTTAGGGAAGGGTCTGCAGGGTGTTCAGGGTCTTACTACTAGATTGGACTCGTAGTGATCCGCCTGTTTATAGCCTCCCAAGACCTGGGATTATAGGCGAGCGCCACCAGGCCCAGTCTCAATTGCCATCTCAGTGTGCCCCAGGGATGGGGCCGGCATGGCAGGCCGGGGGATTGAACCCCGGGCCCCTGTGCCTGCTTGCAGGTGTTTTAATCTGCTGAGCTATTTGGCCGGCCCTCTTTAGAGATTATTAATCACTTGACAAAATGGAATGTGTGGTTGCTTAGCTCACTTTGTGCACTGCCCTCCAGTTTCCCTGATATGGAGAAATCCAATGCATCCCATTTGACTAATAATACTTAAAATTACTATTTTATCAATACATGTTTTCACATGCCAATCCTGAGAAAAGTTCTTTGGTATAGCTTAATATCTAAATTTATTTATTTATCTTAATATCTAAATTTAGTATAATTTAATGTCTAAATTTAAGGATGATAACAGTGACCTCCCAATTTTATTTCCTCATCCTGGTAAAAGACCTGTGTCTGACTTTTATTTACAGAAATATATTTTGCTCTTAAGATATTTCACTGGCAATTTCCCTACAGAACAAATATGTGTTTAACTATTGTAGTCTGCTTTTCTCGTTACTGCAGTTAGCTTTGTTCTTTTATCCTCAGAAGATACCAGAAGAGAACAGGTAGCTAATCTCTTGGGCAAATAATTGCTTCGAACTTTGAGCTGAAATAATTTCCCCTTCTTTGGTTTTTCTGCAGACATGGCTCACCAGCATATCCTATTGGCTCACTCTTGAACCCTGTCAGTGCCCTTGAGAGGCCAACTGGACGCAGTATTTACTCAAGCTTAAGGTAGAGACAGCTGGCATCGCCACTGGAGCTCTCATGGAAAACATGAGGCTTTGCATTTTCGAATAAGATGACATTAATCCTTTAGACTTTTTTTGTGTGTGTCCAGCTCAGACTGCCCTGGGGGTGGGGCTGGCGCAGCATGTGGTGCCAGAGATTGAACGATAGCTCCTGTGCTTTGCCTAAGCAGGCACTTTGGACTGCTGAGCTATCTCGCCAGTCTCTCAATCCTTTAAAAATAGAATAATTTTCTATCTTTTATAGTAGCAATGACTGCTACTTATTGCATATTCCATACCTAAGACTGTAAGAAGGACTGCTCAGCTATGACTCTGTGGTTTAACCTTTATGTTAGCTCTACATGGTTTGTATTGATGGCAGGTAGAGAGGTGAGGAACTGAGCCTTAGAGAGGGCAGGTGCTTTGCCCAAAGTTATGGTAACGATCATCGGCCAAGCAGAGAACCAAACCCAGCCCAACCAATTTGCAGGTCTCTGCTTGGGCCACCTTTATTCGGCTATCATTCCCTACTGTACTTGCACTCTGTGTGGGAGCTGCTTTATGACTTTACAGTCAGATCTTGAATATCTGCTCCATATGTGCACTGACTTTTAAGGGAAAGCTCTTTCGAAGCTCTTTGGGAAAAGGAAAAATAAGAAAAATCTGAGTCATGAGTTTTCCTCCTGTTCATAAATGCGCACAGACGCAGAGCTGTAGGCCTAAGTCATTGGTGGGGAACTGGTAGCATCTTATCACTGAAAGCTCTACGCTTGCCATTGGTTGTCTAACTTACAGATGTTTTGTCATCATATCCCTAAGTCTGTAAGCATGGTCTATACATGTTATGAAATTTTAATTTAAAATTATCAAAATGCTATTACAGGACAAAATCAAATGCCAATGGAAAAACATTAAAATATCATCAGCTCCCGCTATAAAAATTTTACCTGTTTAAAAAAGAGATTGACCTGTGAAATGGTTATCCAAAGTAAGAGATAACTCAAAGAAAATCATCTCATCATTTGGAAAACCAAACCAATGACAACAACAAACTGACCACAAAAACACAAACCATACAACACAACAAACCAAACAAAATCAAGCCAAGCTACCCACAAAGCAAACGAGAGTCAAAACTAAAACCAACTTGTGAAATAAAAAAAAAAGAACCAAGAAACATCAGTGAAGATATTTTAATAACTACTTCTATGCCTACCAGCTCCAACTTTGGTAATGTATTTTTAAACATTCCAAATATATTTTTAAACATGGAATGTTTAAAAATTAGCAATGCCATTTCATATTTGTAAGCATTGTGACCAAGGCCTGTTGACAATATGCTGTGTAAGAGGAAAAAAGAATGAGCCAGACGAGGCTCCAGTCCCCCCACTTACATCAGAGGCTCCAGAGACTTGGGCTTTATGAAGATGGCAATGGGGTAGAGCTGGGCCACTTGTAGCCGCTTGATGGCATTTCCTGATACGTCTAGTATACAGTGCTTGCCCTGGAAGAAAGAAAAGTATGAGATTAACTCTGAAAGAATGGCCAGAATGTGTGTTTTTCAGCAAATGCCATCTATTTTAGTAGTACGGCTCTAGTACGCCCGGAAACTGAGAAGTGTGATGCCTCTACTTGGCTGCTTTTTCTCAAGACCACTCTGGCTATTTGGAGTATTTTGTGTTTCCATCTGCATTTAAGTATTTTTTTCCCAGTTTTTGAGGAATGTCATTGGTATTAAGATGGGAATTGAATGTCACTGGTATTATGATGGGAATTGCACTGAATCTCTAGATTGCTTTGGGTAGTACAGATGTTTCTACAAGATTAGTTCTTACAGTCCTTAAATTTCATCAGTGTTTTGTAATTTTCACAGGAGAGATTTTTACTGACTCTGTTAAATTTGTGCCTATGTTTTTTTCTTTTATGTAGCCATTGCAAATGGGATTACTTTCGTGATTTCATTCTCTGCAAATTCATTATAGGTGCGTAAAAAAACTGATTCTCATGTGTTGGTATTACATCCTGCTTTGTTAACTTTGCTTCTGCAGTTTTTTGGTGGAATCTTTATGTTTTTTTAATATAAAACATTATATCAGCTGCAACAGAAATAGTTCAATTTGTCCTTTTCTGATATTTAATGCTTTTATTTCTTTTTCTTGCCTAATTCCTGAGTGTAAAACTTCAGGCACTACTCTGAGTAACAGCATGGAGGGAGTAGACACCTTTTGTTTATTCCTGATCTCAGAGGAACGGTCATCAGATTTCCCTTTTTCAGTAGCCAGTAGGCTATGGGTTGACCAAGTCTATCCTTTATGATCTTGAGGTATATCCTTCTATAAAACCAGCTTGGAATAAACAGTGAATGATTTTTTTGATGAGCGTTAAATTCAGTTTACTAGTTTCTATTTTTTTGTTTTAAAAACAAATTCTCACTATATTGATTGTCAACTGACAGTTTCAGACAAGATGGTCATTATATTTGCCAGGCTTATTAATATTTTTATTGAGAAATTTTTCAACTATGTTTGTCAGGAATTTTTCATAATTTTGTTATGTCTTTCTCTGGCTTGGTAATGGTAAGACATGCTGACCACAGAGTAAATTTGGAAGGATCCTCTCCCTTTATATTCAGGAATAGTTTGAGAAGGATGGACATTGACTCTTTTTTTTTTTTTTTTTTCATTTTAGCAGTTTTTAATTAAAAATTGCACACGGGAGGACTTTATTCCTGCATCTTCTCAATCATTTCTCTCTTTATTTGCCTTTTTCCTTTCCTGCTTGGCGAGGCTTGGTGTTCTGTTCCAGGATCTTTTTGCGGCCTTTGTCTAGTTTTAGCTGGTGATAACTACCTCACTGGGGTGCATGCCCACATGGACAGCTGTGCCATTTGCCTTTTCCCGCTGCCCCCGTGCAGTGTAGACGATATACTTCTTCCTGTAAACCTGGACTACTTTGCTGATCTGCTGACCTTTGGTACTGAGGTGTTTTTTTTTTTTTTTTTTTTTGGCGTAACCTGGGATTGAATTCGGGTGCTTGTGCTTGCCAGGAAGCACTTATTCCATTGAACCATCTCCCTGATCCTCTGCTGACCTTTATACTGTCCTTGCACAACCTGAACTTCATCATCCTTTTGGATAGGCATACCGCAAACACTGTATTTCTGTCTCAGCTCCTTGGAAAGAGGAGAAGACAATTTTTCTGCCTATGTGGGAAGGTGCATTGAAATGCTTTTTATGGTTTTTGCTTTGGTCCAAAGTTACAGAAGGATTATGCTTTGTTTTGGCAGGCAGGCGCGTGTGCTGCTGTGCTGTATTTCCAGCCCCCAAAAGCCTTTCAATGGGCTAAAATGGCCCGCCGCGACTCTAGTCATGGCTGCAAGAGGGAACGACATTGATTCTTTAAAAAGTTGATGCATGTAGCGGTGAAATCAAATGGGCCTGAGCTTTTCTTTTTTCGGAGATTTTTAATTGTGATTTGGTGTCATTACTTATTGATTCAGAATTTTTTTAATTTTTATTTATGTGTGTGTGTGTGTGTGTGTGTGGCCAGCTCAGCCCAGCAGGGGGCGGGGCTGGCTGGCATGTGGTGCTGGGGGATTGAACCGTGGTCCCTGTGCTTTGCTAAGCTTGCTCCAAGTAGGTGCCTTAGACCACTGAGCCATCTCACCAGCCCGATTCAGAATTTTTATGTGTTCATGGCTTCATTGTGATAGGCTATGCATGTCTGGAAACTTGTCTCTATCTTACGAATTTTCCTATTTGCGAGCATGTCATTTTCATAATAATCCCTAATGGTCTTTTTTATTTCTGTGGTCTGAGTTCTAATGTCCCTTTCTCGTCTCTGATTTTATGTGTTTGGGTCCTCTCTTTTTTTCTGGTGAGCTTAGGTAAAGGTTTGTCCTTTTTTAATCTTTTCAAAAGACCTGGTTTATGTTTGGTCTTAGTCTCTGTTTCTAGAGCTTTATTTTCCTTCCTCTACTAATTGGATTGGTTTATCCTTGCTTTTCTAAATCTCTGAGATGCATCATTAGGTTGTCTATTTCTGTATTTTTGATGTAAGCACTTACTGCTGTAAGTTGCCCTTGGTACTGCTTTTGCCAAGCCCCATGAACTTGGATGTGTTGTTTCCATTTTCATATTTTAAATTTCCCTCCTGACTTTCCCATTGGAAAGGATGCTGTTTTGTCTCCAGGTACTTGTGCAATTTCTAAAATATTTTTTGTTATTGTTTTGCTTTGTTCCATAGTAATCAGAATAGACATGGGACATGATTACAATTGTTCTCAATTTGTGAAGACTTATATATTGTCCATTTTAGAGAAAGTTCCACGTGCTGATCAAAAGAATGTTTATACTACAGCTGTTGAATGGGTTGTTCTGTAAATAGGACGTTCTGATTTATAGTGTAGTTTAACTTTGTTTCTCTGTTGAATGTTTTTTTGGGGGGGACTCTGGATGAGCTACCTACTGATGAAAGTGAGTGGTAAAATCCTCACTATGATTGTTTTGGGGTCTAATTCTCCCTTTAGATCTAATACTGTTTATTTTACAAAATTTTACAAAATTGCCTGAGCCTCCCAAGTGTGGGATTATAGGAATGTGTCACCATGTCCAGCTCTGTCTTTGTGCTTTTTCTTTTTCTTTCGCGGAACCGGGGATTGAACTCAGGCCCTTGCGCTTGCCAGGGATGCGCTTATTCCACTGAGCCATCTCCCAGCCCCTGTGCTTTGATTTTCCTCCCTTATGTGTTTACATTTTTGGTGTGATTTATACTGTCATACTGTTAGTGATCTTGAACTTCTGAATGTCAGAGTTCTTCAGTCATATTTTTTTTCAGGTTGGTCTGGTGGTCATTATTTCTACCAGTTTTTTTTTTTTTTTAGAACTTTTAAATTTTTTTGCTACATGTTAGGTATACATAATGATAACATCCAACACAGGGAATTTGTACCTGTACATGATACATTTTGTTGCTCCTTTTATTCCCATTCCCCTCCCCTTCTTTCAACCTCTCTTCCTCTGCTTATTTGCAAAACTTTTTTTCCATGTTTCCTTCTATTCTTTTCTTCCTTTTCTTTATTCCCTTTCCCCCTCACCCTCCTTTGTTCCCCTATCATTTGGACCTTTTGTTCCCATTTCCCAATATCTATGATACATTTCAATTCTTATTTACACCTTCCATTTCTCATACCAGTGAAATAATGCAGTATTTAAACATGTGTGTCTGATTTATTTTACTTAAGAGTATGATCGCAAGGTGTATCCATTTAGCTAGAAATGGCTCAAGTTTTCCCTTCTTTATGGCAGAATAGTGTTTCATTGTTAAAAAAGTATCTTCATTCATTGATCAGTTGATGGGATTTTGACTGTCTCCAAGATTTAGCTATTATAAGCTGTACCACTATCAATATGGGTGCACATATAACCCTGTACAAGCATAGTAGCTACCCCTCTTACTTGTCTGGGAAGGACTTTTGTCCTCTTTCATGGCTGAGGGACAGCTTTGCTGGGTGTAGCAGTCATGGTTGGCACTTATTTTCTTCTGAACTTGGAATTTGTCATTCTACCTACTCCAGGACTACCGGAGAAATCTGCTGTTAGGCTAACGAGGTTGCTTTGGAATGTGGCTTGGCATTTTTTATTGTAGAGTTTGGAATTTTTCTCTGTCTTGTTTTTTCTAGGATTGTACTATATACATTGCTGTGGTGAAGAATTTTTTCTGGTTGCTTCTGTCTGGGGCTCTAAGAGCTTCCTATATATGTGGTTCCCTTATCTTTCCCCAACTGGAGAAGTTGTTACTGTAATTCAGTTGAATAGGTATTCCAGGCACTTGAGTTTTTCTCCCCTCCTCACTTTTTGATATCATAAAATGCAGATATTTCTACATTTAATAAGCCCCCTAGGTCTTGAATAGCCTTCATTCTTTTGCCTAGGACATTTCCAAAGGCTTGTCCTCAAGTTCAGACATTCTTTCTTCCATCTGATCTACCTAGTTGTAGAGGCTTTCAAACATATATTCTTACTAGACTTTTTGAGCTTTTCATTTCCCCAATTTTTGTTTGGTTCTTTTCCCAAATACTTTTCTCTCTGAATTTCTCATTTATATGTCACATTTTCTTCATTTCTAAAGACTTACTGGAACCAAAAGGTGGCATCAAGTTGCCCTGATCTTTCATCTTCTTATTGAGATTTGTTTATGTGATTGCTCAGGAATCTCTGCCACTTTTCTGAGGTGGCATTTGTAGAAAGCTGCTTTCTCCCGAGGAGTGTCTTACAGGATTTGTTTACTAAACATGTTGGCTTTGCCTCTAGTTGGACCCCATAACATAGTCCTTTGTAGCTCTTTGGCTGCAGTTATTGGCTGTGAACAATGTGCGCCATGGTAGAGCCAGATGTCCCTGTATAGGGCACTTAACAATTCACACAGGTATGGAAAGGATAGTGGCAGGCATGGGAGCATCTACCGAGGGCTGAGGGTTTCCTCAGGCACAATCAGTGCCAGCTCTTTTAGCAGAAGGAAGCAGCAGACGCTGTGTGGGGGGAACAGCACCAGGAACGTGGCATTCCTTTCTTCTGTTTCAGTGACAGTAACTTCCTGGGAGTAGGACTGTAGTTGTGCATGTCTAGGTGTAGGTAACTGTGATGGCTCTTCCCTCCAGCTCCTTAAGCTTTAATTTCTGCCTGAGAGCAAAGCAGGAGCAGGATCTGCATGAAGCTGGGCACATTCTCTTGCTACCCACCAACCTGATATGCCCCAGGGCAAGGTGACAGCCGGGGCAGCGGAGTCGCTGAGGCTCAGCACACTCCTGTGGCCTGGGCAGGTGCAAGCACTGTGGTGTCCTCCTCCTTCTCTGCCCGTAATAGGTAGCTGAGTGACGTATGGGGCTGACGGGCGGCTGGAACAACTTTGGTGACTGCTGACAGCCTAGAGCTGCCTGTGCCTCACGTGTCAGAGGGGAGGCTCCTGATCTCTTGGTTTTATGAGGGCAACCTGTCACCTGATCTTGGGGTGTCCACTGGACTCGGGTGAGTTACTCTGCTGGGCTGCTGGGATCACAGGGCAGACACCCCCTGAATCAACACACAAGGTTTCTGAGGACTCCCACAGACAGGAATGCCAGGGTTTCTGATCTGGAGCAGTCTGATGTCAGACAAAAGCTCATTCTTCAAGATGGTGCCTGGTCATAGTGCCCCAGTTGTTCACAGGAAGATTATGTGAAATCCTCGTCCCAACGAAGGCGGCTGTGCAGACGTCAGGTTTATCTAGGTAGGCTGGAATCCTGTGAGGCTTGCGCCATTTTGCATTGGCTGGGATTGCTGATATCAGCCCTGGTAGTTCGCTGTAACTCTTTTTCATACCTACATTGCCTCAGGAGAAGAGTCTGGGTTGCAGTTTTCAGGTTTCGCTTTTCTTTCTATGCTGCTGTCTGAAGTCTCTGAATCTCCCAATGTTCCAGTCTCTCTCTTGCTGATTTCTAAGAGACCCCTTTCACCCCTCCCATCAAAATGTATCTCTCCACCAATTACTTTGGTTCTTTTAGAGGAAGAAGAGTCTTGGGCTCTTCTCTTCAACCATCTCCTCTTGGCAAACTAAATTTTTAAATCATTTGTCAGTATATCAAAGGGGAAAAAGAGTGATTAAAAAACCCCAAACGCCCAGTAGACAGTCTCTCCTCTGACACGGGCCCTGTGTGTGAGTCTGACATAAGATCTCTCTGTTGACAGACCGCGGAGCTGCGGTCCTGGTCCTTCCGGTGCTGCCTCCCATGGCTTCCACTTGCCCACTCTCTGAAACCTTCAGGAAGAAGGGAGGTGCAGTGACAGCAACTAACTACTACGTGATCTGTGTCTCCCTCTGCCAGGATGGTGTGGCATTTGTAGAAAGCTGCTTTCTCCTGTGAAGCATCTTACAGGATTCGTTTACTGTACACATTGGCTTTGCTTCTGGCTGGATCCCATAATGCCGTCTCCTATAGCCACTTTGGCTGCGGTTATTGACTGTGGACAATGTGTGCCATGGCAGAGCCAGATGTCCCTGTATGGGGTGCTTGACAATTCACACAGCTATGGTAAGGATAGTGTAGTGAAGTTCTCAAAGAGAACGTGTGACTCCTTGTAGCACAACCTGTCTAGACAACCAGGAGTCACCAGACTTCCTTAACACATTCAGCTGCATTCACTCTGCTCTCAGATAGTGAGCCGAGGACATGGCGAACGCCCCGAAACCTCACACAGGTAACTGTCTTTAGCTTTAAAGTGCCCCTTCTCCTTCCTTTTGTCAGTCGGTCTGAATACGTTAGCGAGATGAGAGTAAAGATTAATGATGCTGCTCTAAAATGGCTCTCTGGGGCTGGCGAGATAGCTCAGTGGACTAAGTACCTGCTTTGGCAAGCGCAGGGACCAGGGTTCGATCCCCTGTCTCAGTCCCAGCCCCACCCTGGGGCACACTGAGCCAGCGCTGAGTTAGGGTGTGGTGGCACACGCCTGTAATCCCAGCACTGGGGATGCTGAAAACAGGAGGATCAGTATGAGTGTGAGCTGCACAGTGAGACCCTGGACCAAATACATAAATGAAAAAAAATAAATAAACAAAAGGGCTCTCTGCTTAGGTATCTTGAAAGAAACAATCCACATTTACAGCTGCAATCAGGAAAGAGTAAGACCACAAATCAGAGCTTGCCACCCACCACGCTTCTTGAGGGGAATGGTAAGAACCCTGGCCAACATACCCTTTCCGCTACGAATCTCACAGACTGCACACTGGTTCCATATAAGTTGTCGTTGTACTGCCCAGCTTCTATAAATTTGTGCTCTTGAATATCTTTCTCCATCTGTTCTCGGGAAATGACGAAGTGATAGTCTCTTCCATCCACTTCATAGTCACGCTTTGGCCTCGTAGTATCTTGGTAAAACAAGAAATGATGATGTGAAGATGTGCGGATGTTCACAAGCTTTCTTGCCACCCATCTTTCTACCATACCCTCAACACAGAGGCATAGATTTACGGAGTATGGCGGACATCACATAGCCAGAGGTATCGGTGTAGTAAGAGGCAACAATATCACCTGCCTACTATAAACAAGTGTAAAGCTGGACAAAATGTACGGAACAACTATTTTCAGGATTAGACAGCAGAAAGGGGTAGAGCTGTCGCTCTGAGAGAAGCACACAAGGGACACTCCACTCGTCCTGCCTCTGCCCAGGAGCCACTTTCACGTGGCGAGTCTGGAGCTCCTACAGTGCCAAGAGACCATGAGGTGTGGCCAGGAGTGGGCACCTGGCTAAGCCCCCAGAAAACCCACTGTGGAAAGCTGTTGGATGGGGAGTGCAGGCACACGCCTGTGTCCCTGCGCTTGGACCCCTGGGGGCGCCAGGCCAGCCCAAAATGCACGGCAAGACCGGGTCTCAGGACAACCAAACCAAGCCAAACCACACACACGTTCGGAATGATACTCTTGATTCAACGTTATGACATCTAAAACCAAACTGCATCTGGAACAAGCTGATCTGCCTGTAAATTGCTGCTTGTCATAATGAAATTGTTCTATAAAGGAAGATAACAAGCCCAAACTCTTAATAGCACCACACCGTGATATCCACCATACAGGAGGAATCTAACACAAAGAAGAAAATGGGTCCCATAGCAGGAGGAAAAAAATGGGCGTGCAGTTATAAATATATTCAGAGCTTTAAAAATACTCATATTAAAAAAAAATCACAGTTTAGGTAGGACTGAGAGTTAGTAATCTTAACCATTTTGCTTATATGCCCTGACAGAAAGTGAAATGGAAAACAATCTAGCTGTGTGACTGCAAAAAATTGAAATATTTCCCAGTTAAGTGTGGTGGGGCGCAGCTGCAATCCCAGCACCCTGGGAAGCCAAGGCAGGAGTTGCCAAGTTTAGAATCAGCCTGGACAATTTAGAGAGGCCCTGTCTCAAAAAATATAATGCGGGCTGGGCTCAACCCCCAGGACTTCGCTACCCACCTTAAATATTTTCAACCTTGAGTTCTGTTATTTCCTAGAAATAGTTTTCTATCTTCTAAAATGGTCAAGCCAGGGATGGTAGCAGACACTTATAATCCCAGTGATTCAAGAAGCCAAGGGAGAAGGGTTATAAATTTGAGTCCAGCTGCTATATAATTCAGGGACAAACTGTCTGAAAATAAAATAATAAAAGAGCTGGAGATGTAGGTCAGTGGCTTGCCACCATAGGCAAGGCTCTGGACTCAATTCCCAGTACCACCAAAACAAACAAAAAAGATCAAAATTTCAGATGGTGTTCTATCCTTAAATATATTCATTATGTTAACTTACAAGTAATAACACATAATGATATCTTATTATAATTCACAATAAAGATAAAGAAAATCCAAAATGTGTATAAATGAAGAATGATTAATTATGACAATCATTTAAAATAGTTAAAAGTTTGATCACGGAAAATGCATGCATTAGAAAGAAGAGATGGAAACTATTGTATCTGTGATGTTATTTTCAGACATTGTATGGGATTCTGAGTCCCTTTTATTTTTTTATTTTCCTTTTTAGCTTTTTTCAAGTTCTGTACAATAGACATGTATAGAACTTGAAATCATATTCATAAAATAGTGAAATAGAAGAAATAACAGAGGAGAAAGCCAGAATGTGCAGCGCAGAAGGGGGGTGGGAGGATGCACGAGGTGTCTCGCCCCTTTCTGAACTGGAGGATGCACCCGGAAGCTGTGCACGGCCCTGCCTGCCCTGAGCCCTCCAGGCCGAGGACGAGTGGGACTCGTCCCCAGGGTTTGCCAATCACCTTTGTCCTCCTCTGTCCACGCGTCACACACACAGAATTCCTGTTGTTCTTTAGTATTCGAGGTGAAATGTGTAACACTGAAATGCTAGAGACATTTGAGAGCCTAAAGCTTACACACGTAGTGAGAGAAGCATTGGTCAGGCTCAAATTTGAGCCACCCACTATTTAATTGCTTGGGATTTCCTCATGGGCCCTTGTACGTGCACAGAAGGGCTCCATGGACGGGGTGGGTAGAGTGGCACGACAGTCAGGGACCGGGGAGATGAGGCAGGCAGCATCTGGGGCCCTGCACCCAGTGGGCCCTGGAGCCCTGGAACTGTCCATGATAATAAAGCAGACTGAAGTCCGCAGTGGCCCAGAGGGCTGCAGTGCAGACTTTGACCTTCTTGTCCTTCTCTTCCTAAGATCTGCAACAGGAAAACACACAGGAAAGGCTATTTTGTTTTGGGATTGATAAACTGTCCTGTGTCAGCTTGAGGTGGCTTTAATGTACAGTTTTGTTTCTGACTGCCCTGATTCTATGGAAAACTAGGCTATAATGTTGTTTTAATAAATCCTTAAGACTGTATGATGGCGATCATCAATCCACACTGCTTTGAACGCTGCGGGGTTTGCAGTGATCCTCCCTGCCTTCTTGCGGACAGCAGCTCGTTTAGAGAGAACATTATACTTACCCTGCAGAAAACAGCACATGGCAGCGCAGAAGGAAAGTGTCAGACACAGAAATTAGGTAAGATGCTCAGACAGGAAGTAACTGATTCTGCCTGAGTCACCTGAGGGACTGCTGGAGAGACAGAAGTACACCGACTCATAAAAGACAAGAATTTTCCCTAAAAAAGTGATACTTACGAGGCACACACGAGCCAAATTTATCAGGAAATTCAGATATCAAATCATCATTGATTCGATCCTTCATGGGGCCCAGGATAATGACTGGCCGGGTGTAGGTTACTGCAGACAGGGAAAGGAAAATGCAGGTAAGGAGAAAGAACCAGAAATGACAGCAAGGGCAGTTCTTAAGGTGCAGTTGTCGAACAGAACCACCAAGGTCACATCTCTGGGTGACTCACCCATTTAGCCTTGCATAGGGAATGAGAGGCTTAACCCTGAGGAAGTTACTCTTCCTCTCTGGAATTTACTAATAAGGAACAGCAATTTCAGCATCTGTCAAAGAAGAGGCCTTCGGAGGAGATTTGCTTGTTCTCTGGCTGTGCATCTCTACACACTGTCAGAACAACTGAATGTAGTCAACTAGGAGGGGAAAAGAGAGCTGTTTGGCCACTGGTTAAAAGTAATTGTTAGTAGCAAGGACGCCTTATGTTTTTATAATTTCCTTTCCTCAACTCAAAATACTCTCTACACTCTGTCAGGGTTTCCCTAATTCCTTTGTGTCTGATGATAGAAAGAACTCTAAAGCCCATTTGGTACAAGTCCACGAGAGACGCTTGAATTTTCTCAGGAATAGCCCCTGTCAACAGCCATGAGCCTATGCACAAATGCCTTGGGGGGCAAGGCAGCCAGGCTCCGGGTCAGCCTGCAGGTGGCCGGGATCTTAGGGCAAAAGGCTTCCTCAGCACTTAGCTGACTGCAGCCCCGCAGGGTGTGCCCACAGGCCTCTGGCTGCAGCTCAGATGGCTCAGATATGCCCTCATCTGAGCACCCTCTACATGCTCAGAGGGAAGCTGTTTGTACGGTGACCGGGCCAGAGAGAGAGCCAGCAGAGCACAGTCTGGGGCCCACTGAACATTGAGTCGAGTTTACTTCGTTGAGTCCTTCACTCCTTCCCTTCTTCAACACTGTCACCTGTGACGGCCCTGCAATCAGGAACCAGGCAGCCTGAGAAACTTACTTTCCTGTCTTGTGACAGGCTCGTAGGAAAGAATGAGGTCTTCTTGCCCCCCTGAAAAGAGAAGAAAGGAAAATTACAGTCAACTAACAACCAGTGATTGATCCCCTAAAGCTACAGTCCCTGCTCTGAAATATAGGAAACAGTTCAGAGTTCAATCTTTTTGCTTTTTCTTTGAGCCATTCAAAAATTCCTTCAACCTTGTAACTATTCAGCGTCAGGTTATCTCCATAGCAGGAGTCATGACTGAGCGGTAGCTGGCTGCTCATTGGCTGCGGCGGGGCCCCTCTGAGCCCATGTCCTGCCTGACGTTGGAGGTGGAGTGCCGGTTTCTACACCGAGTAGTGCTGCCTCTCAAGCAAAGCCCTGTAGTCCAAGAACACGGCCCTTCAAAGAGTGCTTTGCTACCTAATCAGAATGTCTGTTCTTGCATTTATCTATTTTATTTACCTATAAAGTACATTGTTCGAAAGCCAATGGGGGTATGTTATAGGACTTTAACAAGGGATAATAAGGGCTTCACTCTAATAACATTAAGTCATCAGGAAAGTGTTGTGGGGCAATTAGAGAAGATTAAAACTTGAGAGCAGATGGGGGTGCAGCTCAGTGGTAAAGAGTGCTTAGCATGTGTGAAGCCCTAAGCTCCATTTCCAGCATTAAAAAAAGGAGTGGCCCACGTCATTGGTTCTAATGACCGTTAACTCAAGCCTTGAACCTAAGCAGGAGAATAAGGAAGAGCATGTGGTGCAGTGCCCGCCCCCAGGCGGTTTGCTGCAAACCTTCTGACTCAGTATGGCCCTGAAGTCACTAAGTGACTGCGGAAAGTGAATTAGTCTTTGGAAATTATTTTTGCAATCATCTGTTTCATCCAGCTGACTGATGCTGGATTAGCTCAGTGGAGCTCAGATACTGAAAGCCGAGCTCTCCTATCTGCAGTAGAGCTAGTCCTAAGCTATGGTGGGAAACAGGTGAGGATGGTTAGAAATGTGCCACTCCACATCTCCTGCAGGAGACAGAGGAGGGGAACTGGGACCTAAGGGGCCGACTGTGCTGGAGCCAAAGCGTGATGGGCCGCAATGCTTTTGGCACCTAACCTTTCCATTATCAGAATTTGGGATGACCAAAAACTGAATTTTTATAATATAATAATCTATCAGAATGAGAATTGTATCAAGTTTATTTGATACAGAAATCCACTGGTTGAAATGGCACCTTCCCAAGGGACTTGGCCAGTAGTCAGTGCAGAAAGAAACACACCACCCGATGACGGCAAACCGTGCAGCGGCTAAAGGCTCAGTACCCCGAGACCCTTTCACACAGTCCTCCGGGGCCAGGTTCCCTTTGCAGCCCCCGCCCCAGGGGAAAGCGAGTGAATGGAACAGAAGAAAGCGATATACAGTTGTGCTCCTAGCAACTGATTTGAGGAAGGGAAAGCAAATAGGGCTGCAGCTGTAGAGTACAGCTGTCTTTCTTGGCAGGTTGGAGGCTGGCATAGGGTGAGTGGGCTCTTCTCTACGTGTGAGACGTGGGGTGTTCTATAAGCCTGAGAAGTCGCTACAGGTTTAGGTGACAGCTTCTGTTTCCACAAGGGCTGCTTTCAGAATGGCAGTGCTAGGATGCACACTATGCTCCAGGGACAGAGAGTGGACTCAGGGCTCTTAACTGGCACCTACCTATTCAGGGTTATTCCAGAGTGTCAAGTTTACATTTTTTTCTTAAGTTTAGGAAGAGGATGTTTCTTTTTGAGTATACTACTACAATTTCACAGCTCGGGCCACAGAAAGGAATTCATTGCTAACACCTGACATAGACAGCGGGCTTAAGCACTCGGAAGGTGAGTGTGAAGGTGATTGGGGGAAGTACAGTTTTGGGGTTAGGAGCGTAGTAGACTGGAATTGCCATGGTGGACTGACTGCAGCTTCACAGCGAGCTCTTCAAGTAACAGTTAATATATGAGGGGAAGACCCTGATCACAGGCTAGCAAGAGCTTGAAGTGTCATGAGATGTTGAGTCTGCCTACTTTCTGGAAATCTATAAAGGCAAAGACTGAGTTTTATCCATCTCGGTGTCTGCAGTGCCTGACTGAGTACTGGATGTAAAGAAAGAGTTCAACACCATTGCATTCTGAGTTCAGTCATAAGACAGGATGAATAGTGAGGCAAAGATAGGTTCTGCTTTGTGTTTCTGTCAACATGGTCATTTCACTTGAGGAAATAGGGGTTTTTCTAATAAATAAATACATTATGGTTCCATATGGACTGCTTTCCAGGAGCCTTGTAAATCACTGTCAGGGGACATTCAAAAGGAAAAGCTCAAGGAAAGACATTTGATGTCAATATGTATAACTTGTGATTCTGAAAACCAGTGTAAAACATAGTCTGTTCCAGGCCTCAAGGCGCTGTGAGACCTGGGTGTTGCGTGCCACGCAGGAAGGTCTGCATTGCCTACTAGCTGTGAATTCAGCACCTGAAGCTGATTTGCACTTTCAGGTTCAAGATGAAAAGCCCTTCGAGTAGCTGACAGGAAATCAGGAAGGGAGGGGGAAAAGCTTACCACAGTGAAAGAAAGAAAATTCATGTTGTCACTGTGGCCCGGTGGGACTTTTCAGTCTCTGGTTCCTAGTTTTCACAGACATTCCTAGAGAGTAGGAATGCTGGTGGACCTGATTTTATAGGGGAGAAATTGAGGTTCAGAAAGTTTCATGAGCCCTGTTTCCTCAGCTAGTGTATGGTAGAATCACCATTCAAAATGACCTCCTTTTAAAATTTTTTTTTGCAGAACCGGGGATTGAACTCAGGCCCTTATACTGGCCAGGGAAGCGCTTATTCCACTGAGCCATCTCCTCAGCCCCCAAAATGACCTCTTTTTTAATTCTGTTGAACAGATCTCAGAAGGGGGAGCGATGCAAACTTCTGTGAGGGGTACATTAGGGCCTGTGTGGGGCATAAGGGAAAGCCAGGTGAGGGTCACCGAGCGACCACAGTGCCATGTGTAAATACCAGCTCTTTTGAACGCTTCTGCGTTATCTCCATCAAACAGTCAACCCTAGTAGTTTTGCTATATTTTTTTCTCAGAAGAGGTTAGCCTTAGAAATAACAGCTGGCAAAAGGTACAAACTAGTCTTCGGTCTCGCTTTGGCAACCGCATGGCTGGCAGTGGACGAGCGGCAAAGCTGTGCGTGGAAGCTTGCAGCTGCCGGAGACTTGGCAGAGGGCCTGCTGCAGTCTCCATGAAATGTTTTGTGTGCAAACTGGAAGCAAAGCCACGGGGAGACACATCTGGAGTAAGGCCCTAGCAGGCCTGCAGGCTGAGAAGAGAGTCTGCTTTCTAGGAATTCTTGGAAACAAAGAGGAGGGGACCGAAGCGCAGCGGCAGTGCGAATGTTCCATGTTTCGTTTTTGCCTGCTGCCTGCCTGCCTGCCTGCCTCTGTTCAATGGACATTAAGAATAAGCGAGAGCCATGTAGCGTTGGCACTACAAGAAGGTCTGGAGTTCCTGAGATTCAAGGGTGACAAGAGTCTAGGGGCACGTGTTGGTCCACATGACCACCACCCCATTGCTGCTGAGGCTCGACAAGCCCTGGGAATGCTTTCCAGCACAGTTCTTCACACAGCTATTACTGGTTGATCAGAAGCAAAATTTATTTTTTGTCTCAGTTCTAATTCAGGTTACTGGATTTACATGAGGGAGAACTGAGATTTTTGGGTAACTTTTTCAAGAACTTCATAGGCTGTTCAGAGGATTAAATGACTTAAAGAAGCTCTTACACTCAACCTTAGTATAGTTAACAGTATATAAAACTCAACTATTAACTTGGTAGGAAGTATGGAATGGTTAAAATATATTAGATGCAACAGCAAACTGTTTGGACTACAAATAGGATAGAGAGAGGGAAGAGTATATGAAATCCAGACTGAAAAGGTTTGCTTGGAATTATAATGGTACCACTTCTTGGTGAGAGAGCCTCTAGGAAGTTCAACTTTCTCCTGTGGAAAATAGGCTGCTAGTAGATTTATGGTAGAAAAGAAATGAGTAGATGTAATGAAAAACTGGTTTATAAAGAAATGGTAACACTTGACAAGGGTGCTAAGGAAAAGGAGATAGGGAGAAGTCTTGGTTCTTAATGTCCTTTTCGTTCAAGTCATTTCCTCAAGATCCTTATTTTGAAATTTCTACTAAATAGACATCAATGGGTTTTATTTTATTTATTTATTTTTTAAAAAAAATTTATTTATTTGTTTATTTGTGTGTGTGTGTGTGTGTGTGTGTGTGTGGCCAGCTCAGCCCACCAGGGGGCAGGGCTTGCTGGCATGTGGTGCTGGGGGATTGAACCGTGGTCCCTGTGCTTTGCTAAGCTTGTTCTAAGTAGGTGCTTTAGACCACTGAGCCATCTCACCAGCCCCTATGGGTTTTAAATATAATATGCAAAGAGCATTACTAGGAGTAAAGAATTACTAGGAGTTTAGCTGTCAACATTAGCCTGACCTGCACTTTAAACCAGCTTAAGAATTATCACCCCTGGGTACAAGGGTAACTGCAAGCTATAATACAGAATGGTCCAAAATACAAGGTGCACTTTACTACCTCATTGACAAATAAAAATCTGGTATTTGCCAATCATTCATCCAATTTTGGGGTGGTATTTTGTATAACTGGATAATATTTATTGTAATTTAATTGCACTTTAGTCACTATTCAATAGAGTTGGGCTTGGGAAAATAATTCTATAGGGCATAGACCTTGTAGCAGATGTCTAAACTCTACTAGAAATTAATGTCATGGGTCTACATAAAACCCAACAAATAAGTTATATTTTTCCTCTTACTATACAGAAAATAGCTCAGGAGTCAAGCTTTGGTCACTTATTCTTGGCCTGGTTTCTTGGTTTATAGTCACATGAAGAGAGGGACATGTTCATTTTTTCCCCTGAAGTTGGGTCAGTAACATTTTTAAGAGCAGGAAGAATGTAAGGATGTTAAGAATCTGTGCTGAGAATAATCCTGCCACCAATAAGACTTGATGAAATTCCTTCAGTGTGAGATTTCTATTGATTATAAAGCTGGGTGACTCATTACCGTTTGATATTTAATTCTGTGGTCTATCTTATCCTTCTCTTGGCCCCTATGTCTAGCTACTGTCTTTCTTTCCTTGTGCTTTTTTTCCTTCACTGCTACTAATCTGACTCCCCAAAACTTTTTCAAAATCCGAATTACTCTGACTGTACTCCAAGAGCACAATTTGGCACTCCACCTCAAAAAGCATAGATTTGAAAAGTATTATGCTATAATGGGAAAAAATACCCCTTTTTGGTATAATTTTACTTTTCAACTAGTCCAATATTCATTCAGGCAAAAGATGATACTAATTTATGTCTTGGGAGCTGCTGATCATATACTGGACTTCCGGGTTTTTACTTGATTTGGCAATTCCTTGTTGCATAACCCATTTTACTAAGTAGTACAAATTAATGTTAAAGAACTCATACTGAACCGAATGATAATAGATACCAGTATTAGTCACCAAAACCAATAAGGGGGTGGTAAGAAACCACAAGAACTGATCAAAAGGATGTGCTTGGTGTTTGGTGAATATTTCCATACAATAAGCAAATGGCTTGAGGTAACCAAAGAAACCCAAGAATGAATTTTTAAATAGTTACCTACCTTTTCAGTTAACTCTTCTGACCCAACAAATTTAGTTAACTTTTTTAAAGACAGAGTTATGGGGAAAGGAACAGTTCCTTCAACAATAGAGGTTGAAACTTTTTAGATCAGTCTCTTACCTCTCCCCCAAATAAAATTAGATACATAGATTTCTATCTACCTTAAAATATTGTTTATATTGCTTTTTCTTGTAAATGGGAATCGTTTTCTTGTAAAACGGAAAGGAAAGGCAAAATGCGAAGGAAAAGAAAATCGTGTTGAAATTTCTACCCTCCTGCAGGGAGTTTAAGTTGCATAGGGTGGAATGTCAAAATCTACCGTGCTGAACTTCTGCTCTTTCTTAGGAGAATTCAATCACGGGGTCACAACCAGCTGAGGTTGGAATTGCCATTACTTAGCCTGCTAATGCTTGAACAAGTTACATTAAGGGTCTACGGAGGGCCCCAACGACTTTTGCATGCTTCCACATCAAATGCTGATCTCATTTCAAGCCATTTGCTTTGGGTAATAATGATAAGAGGCAGCAATTGAAAAACAACAACAAAAATCTGGAATGACCACCACAGGCAATGGGGCAACTGCAAAGAAAAGAACAGCAAACCAAAGCAATAACTTACGGGAGCTACTTTCGCTATCGCTGGCATTAGAAGAAACGTGTTCTGCAACAACAGCACAGCAAATTAAAGAGATACAAAGCACTGGAGAGCAGCCCAAACGCAAAGGAATTCACTCATGCAAGGCCACCAGAAATGGGAGCGGAAGGCCAGTGAGAGGCAGCAGAAAAGATCGCAGTAAGAAAATTCGGAGAAGATAGAGAAGATGAAAACTTTATCCTCATTTTTGCAGGAACCTGCTTAGTTGGTTTTTTCCCCTCTTAGCAAATAATGAAAGTAGTGTATTTAATTAAAAAATCAATCCAGAATTTTTTTTTCTTAAATTCTATGACCCATTCTTATAGCTCTGATTTTTCAGACTTGTCTTAAAAAATGCCAGTGCATTCATTAACTACAAGTTGAGGAGATTCTAGTCGGTAGGGACTGTTTTCTTTAGGCTTTTTTACTTTACCATTTTACCATCGATAATTTGTAAGAATACTGATTGATCCCTGGAATCCTTTTAGTTTTATTTCTGTTTAAATTCTTTGTAAAACTAATTCTGAGAATGCAAAGGGATTTTTTTTTTTAAAGATCTTTCCTGCTTCAGTGAATGAGCAGAAAATCTTGGAGGAAGAAATGTTTCAGGAATCGTGTTTTTTCTATTAAGATCTTGACTTGGATAGCAATTGGATCCTAAGGGGCATGGAGCAGGCAAAGGATATGATACCTAACACAAGTTCTGGGAAGTAAGAGGTTGTTAATTTATTCTGAATGATTTACCTCTAGGTAACATTCAATTGTTTTTGGCACATAAACACAACTCAGCCTAATAGAACAATGATAGATGTATTTGCTGTATGCTAGGATTGCAGCATTAGTTTCCAAAGTCATTTTATTTTTCTTTACTATTTGTTAATTTATAGATTATCAGCTCCTCAGTTTATTTATTTTCAATCAAACAATTGTGTGACTGTTTGATTTCTGAATCTTACTGTCAATAACTTTAGTTTTTAAAAATGCTAACTGTTGTCTGTTTCGCTAAGAGAACACAGCACCATTTTCTAACAGTATGAAGTACTTTGACATCAGACATTCTTGCCGGCTAAGTGAGTAGTTTCAGAGCACAAAGTGATTAAAAACCAAAGCATGAGTTAAATTCACACAAATCATTGCTCTTTGTGTTGGTTTGTGAATGGAGCTACACTAAAAATTGGGCCACATGTTTTCCAGATGCAGAGGGGCCCTAGCAAGCAATGCAGATTCATCTGGGCGAACCTGCCTTTGTCACGGAAAACACAGTCAAGGCACATAGCCAATGACAGGGTACTGTCATGTACATTGTCATCTTAAGCATCTTGAGTTAGGGATGACAGGATTTTTGTTTTTCTTTTATTAATTTATCTCTTCATTTTAAAAAAAAATTTTATTTATTTATTTGTGTGTGTGGGTGGCCAGCTCAGCCCACCAGGGGGCGGGACTGGCTGGCATGTGGTGCTGGGGGATCGAACCGCGGTCCCTGTGCTTTGCTAAGCTTGTTCTAAGTAGGTGCTTTAGACCACTGAGCCATCTCACCAGCCCCTATCTCTTCATTTTTTAAAAAGGAAGTAAATATGGATGTTCTGAATTTAAAAGGGTACCACTCCAGTTTTGCCATTATAATAGCAAATTCTTTATACTGATGTTCATTATTAAAAACCACAGAAAAGCCTCTTTACAAATTGTGTCTGATGGCAACTCATGCTATGCCAATAATGTTGCAACTGGCCTTTGAGGGCAGTCCCTAGTTCAAGCCAGATTTCTCATACTTTATATAGTGACCCAAAGATAAAGTTTTCATCTTTAAGGAGATCAGTACTCTTGATCAGATTCTGTTTTCTCTTCATACACAGTTTTTTTTTTTTAAAAAGCCACTCAAAATCAGTGGCTTGAACTATGAAAGGTGTCATTATACAAAGTTATATAAACTTCAAAAACTAAGTTGAGTTCAACACTCTGCTCTATAAAGTGAACAGCTTCTAAAAATATCGTCCACATCTGTTAAAACAAAACAAAGTTGAACAACATGATACAATTGCAAAAGACACAAAATTCTGTTCTTATTTCACTGGTACCTACATAATGAGGTTAGTATCAAAGAAAGAAAAATTACAGGATCGTTCACTTAAATTGCTGAGCCAGTGCAGTGAGACACAGACCAAAGACATGAATGACTAGAAGAAGAAAGGACTAATGTGCCTTATTTTTCATTCTGCACTACAAAGTGAAGACTTAATTACAGAATACAGCTAACTAGATGCTATAGAAAAATATATTAATAAATATCCAAAATTTTATTATACAAACGTTTCAAGCAGGATCACCGCAAGTCAGAGAAAGTCAATCACAGTTAATAACAATTATTCATGGGAGACCAAATAGATTATTTTTGAGAATGCATGTTTCTTTTGATTATTAAATAGCTCCTGTATTAATAGCAAACACAGCTTTATAGAATTTGGCAAGGTCATTCAGTATTTTCATGTGAAAAGGCAAAGGAAAGCACATAAGACATACTTCTACTTTGCGATTCTAGAACATTTAGCTCGCCCTTTCTTTCAACATGGTTTCTTGCTCGCCGGGAGGAGTTAGGCAGCAGAGCAAGGGATGCTACAGAAGCATCGGGGCCATGCTGGCTGTGTCATGTGTCAGAAAGGGAAAGTGTTAACTGCAGCAGAAGTTAGAGTGCCTGGCACACTTTGCTTGTAAATGCTGACATGCAGAACAAAACAATTGAAAATTATTTTGTAGGAGCATTCGCAGCTAGGTAACAAATAAAACTGGTATCTTGTGCATGCTCGGAGTGAAAGGCCCTCGAGAAAAGGAACAAAAGCCAAACTCAAAAGGAAAGGAAAAGAAAAGAAAAGTTACAGTGACCATTCCTGGAAACTTACTCAGAGTCTTTGTTCCATAACCGTCGTCACCTAATCCGGGGATGTCCTGCATGGAAGTCCCCAGAGAGAGCAATGAGAGAGGAAGAGCAGCCGCGGAAGAGGAAGGAGAAGTCAGTGGAGTTGAAATGGATACTACCATGACAGACCGTGCTGACACGCAGTCTGGATCCCACCGCCTCTTCTTCGGAAACAACTCTGACCCCAAACTCTCTAGAAATTTTGCTCTGGAAAGCCACATGAAAGGCTTTTAAGTAGAAGACTGCAACACACAAATAAGCAAGAGAGACTTGGCAGTTTTGCCATCAGCATTGCCACATAAAGGTCCTGCTGAAGGAACCATCTCTTCCAGGTTTTGCAGCTGAGCATCCACCCATCTAGCCTTGCTGTGGAGCAAGTACTTAGCGTTTGCTGGGAGGGAAAGAGTGAGCTGGGTGGTAGTAATCAACCAAAGTGATTTAATTGCTTCAGTTAGCTGGCATTCCAAGAAATAGACACGTGGCAATGGAATCCAGTTTTTCTACCAAGAGAAAAAATTTGTGCAAGTCGTAGAGAGTTGCATGAGTGAAAAGGCAAAGGGGACCCATCCCCAGTTAGAGGTCAGCGCCGACTGGCAGCAAGCCCGGCTTTGGCAATGCCCTCTCCATCATACCCTGCGAAGAAGAGCCATGCGAAGGGTGGATCCAGACTGCGGACTGCGCTGGTCACAGTAGTAAGACCTGCCCTGCCTGCCTCCTGTATTGTTATTATTGTGGCCTAGGTGTGTGGCATGGGAGCGCCTACGTCATGCGTGAAGGATTTCTCTTGTGCTGCATGTGACATTATCTCCGAGAATCTACTTACGTTCAGGATCACTGGTTTCCTGCTCACTCTGCTCCTTGTTCTTGTAGAATGGGAATTTTCGTGAAAAGATGAAGCTCTTTTTACGCTTGTCATTGAATGACTGTGAAGGAGAAAAGGCATGGGGCAAAAACGGGACGTCTAATTGTTGTCACACTCATGCTGACGAAACAACTAGTTTGTAAAAGCAGAGAGAGCTGTAGTGACGCAAGTGGATATGCTACGGAGGTACCACAGGTTTGGAAGGGCATGATTCATTTTCAAAGAGTGTTAATTCCGAATGATGACCCTTTGGAAACATGGGCTCATAATCAAAAGGCTGCTTACAGATAAATGGTGGAGGAGGGAGAGAGTCTTAGATTAGAAGACCCAAAGTTTTTGTCCTGGTTCTGCATCTCACGAATTCATCGCCTTTGACAGTAACTGAATCTCTCTGTGCCTTGTCTCTTCTTCTGCAAAATGAGGATTATGGTAGTAGTTCTTTGGTGGTGTGACTCATGAGACAGCATAAACATAAAGTGCTATACAGAGGGCATCTTAGCAGGTAGAAAAGGATTTTTATTAGATATGCTAGTTTTCCTTGTTTTTTGCGGTACCGGGGATTGAACTTAGCACCTTACGCTTGCCAGGCAAGTGCCTATTCTACTGAGCTATCTTCCAGCCCCCTAGTTTTCCTTGTGACTAGTCATCTTTTAATCCTCTTTTAAAATTACTTGAATTTGAGTTACTTCAGCTTGGATATAACTAAAGCTGCACAGAGAAGTATGCAGCTTTATGATTTAGGATAATTATAGTCTCACAGTATGTGATAATCACGGCATAGCATTTTTATCCAAAAGACAATTTAGCCTCCAGCCTTCATTGTGTAGAGGGAGCCAGAGCACGGAGAGGTTGAGCGCAAGGCCGCGGCACAGAGCTGCTTGCAGCCAGGAAATAGCCTGACTAAACTGTTAAGACTGCTGTGAAAGCGGAGTCATCTCATCTTCACTCAGCAGGGGGGAGGTGGCAGCCACTCATGTACACTCTGGGAAGATAAAGGTAACGTCAGAATGACTGTCTTGAAGGCATCATAAGCCAAACCATCCGCTTAAAAAAGGCCAAATTAAAAATAATATATACACATATTATAGCCACGAAATTTATTCACCCACATGAATGTCATAAGCTCCCCATACCACTTCCTAAGAAGTCAGCTTTAAGGATAATAACTATTGCTGTTATTAGGTACATGTTTTGTGGGATTCTTTTCTGAGAAATGCATTTGTGATCATTTTATAAGCTATCAGCCATGCAAGGCTTAATTTTATTTTCACATGTAATTTTAAAAGTGCTTCGCCAGCTTAATTACCATTCTCATTTGAATTAGTGAATTAGTTTTGTGAGTCCTTTAATTGGCTACACAATTAAAATCATTGCCCAAGGAACAAGATTCTTACTACATAGATTTGAAAATGAATATGCAAATGGCTCAGAAGAAAATCTGGAATGGGGTCAACGAGAGCCGGCAGGCCCAAATGCGCGGCTGGCCGGGTGGCTCCTTGGAAGAACAGAACAACTGCTCAAGTAGGCATACTTTCTCTCACTGGTGAGGCACAGCCAGGAGCCTCATGGGCTGCAGGTTTGAAACAGCGGCTTAACTGACTGCCTTCCTTTATGCGCTCAGGCTCTTCTGCCTCAAACATCTATTCTGGTAATCAGGCTCATTTAGTATAGAACACGTGCAACTACTAACACGCTAGTCCTGTCTTTCAGTAAGCTGTTCATTTCTTTAGGTACTAAGAGCTTTCCTCCAAGTCAGTAGGGCTTAATTTTATGTCACACTGAGAAGGCTTTGTGAAAATGAACATTTCAGTAGTTCATGAAATCAGGGCACAAACTTCGTACTTTATGTTCAAGCATTAAAAAGCTCTTGGAAAAAAGGACCACTTCACAGTGCAGTATTGTCCTGACTGCAGCTGTGATTGGTAGTTTTACTGAAACTTAACAGTGAGGATCGGTGTCCCAAAACACCAAAAAATGATCATTTTTAAAGGAACATTCATTATTCTTGCATCACTCCAGTTTCATGCCACTTTTACTGATCAAGCATATATAAATTTCAGTAACTGAAAATAACAGAAAAGAAAAACATGTAAGAATCAATGGCCTGTGATATTGCGAAGGATGTTAGACATTTATCTTGGATATTGTAGATGACGTCATGCAAAACAATTGGATTTTTTTCATGCAAATACAAAACAATGCCAAGGGGAGGAAAGCCTGGGGTGAAAACACAGACTGAGAATGAGAAGGCATGTGGGCCCCCAGAAGAGGCTGCATGCAAGTCACACAACTAAAGTGGCTTCAGGGACCAAATGCAAATGGAAGAGTGTTGTCTGTGGTTAATTCTATCATGTTGCAAAGCAAGGAATGTAACGTGTTAACATTTCCCAGGTATGAAAATGTTGTGTGTCATGAGTTATCTGACTGAGACATCTCAACACTGAGTATCACACTTTTTAAAAGAACAGAAAATACATAATAATACCTCGGACATGTAATTATCTAAGTCTTATTGGCAAATGCCATTTCTTAGTGAATTAACAAGAAGGTAGTGGAATTATTGGTGATTACATCTCCAGACACAAAATTAAACCACAGTTTCAGTTCAACCAGATTTAAGCCACGCAGTTAGAATCTTAAAACATTTCAACCATAGAAGATAATATGTGGTTTATAATGCTAATACTATTCTTTATCTTTATTAGACATGTACATCATTACATAAGCTTTTGCTACTGCAATGTTTTCTTTTAATATAGAAAAAGAAAAATCTGTTACATGAGTGCTAGGTGAGAATAATAAATTAGCACTTTGGCTATTTGTAGAACACATGGCTCTGAAGCAGCTGAAGGCTGGTTTATGGCTCCCTTCCCAACCATACTTGATCAATGGTATTGTTAATTCTCCTATGTTATAACATCTTCAATCCTGATCCATCGCTTTCATAGCAGGAAACTTTGAATAGAGACTTTGAAAACCAATCCAATGTGGCAGGCAGTAAGTTGGCCTGCCAAAGAGTTTCACCTAGCAGTTTTACATGAATTGTTGAGTTCTTATAAGCAAGGGTGACAAAACAACTACCATTTATTCAGCACTTAAGGAACAAGCTTGGTTCTAAAAGCTTTACAGGTGTTAATTTTCATGCTAACTTCCCATTTTTTCCCCTTATTTGTCCAAAGCCAGGTAGGCAAGCAGTAAAGTCAGAAATTGAATACCCCTGGTTGCAATTATTGCCGTTCTTAAGATCACAAGAAATTTCTGCAACCCAAACATGCTTCAAGTTCATATTCACAATTATTAGCATTGGGCTTTCTTAAGTGATCTGTCATTCCCTAATCTTAATGCTTCGTGATTACTTATTTCACTTATTGGTGCTGTTGGATTCAATAACATATCCTTGGGTTATAATATCCTTGGGTTTTGAATATCCACTCATATGTTTGAGGTATCTATCTCATTCTTTGTTATGATAATGTAGGGAAAAAAATCAAGAGGATTTTCTTCGTAGGTCATGGAGGGCAATTTACAGGCAAGTATCCATGAGAGGTGGGTCTATGAAGAAAGCTACATTGCTGCTTGCTCAGGTCTAGGTTATGGGTGGAGAGAGGAGAAGCTGGCAGCTCGGAGGAGAGGAAAATGCTCTAAAATGGGTTGTGGTAGTAGTTGTGGAATCCTACAAATACACTGAGAACACGGGACTGTCTGCTGCAAGTGCTTAGTTACGTTTGTGGGAATTACATCTCGATAAGGTCATGGCATCCCTTCCCCGAGCCCACACCACGGGGTGAAAGAAAATGATCACAGCAGGTTTCTCATTTTATTAGACGTACATGTTTTTATCTTTAATTGTGTGTTCTCCAGTCCTTGGAATCAACCAGCCACACATGGCTTTTGTGCATCTAACTGGTCTTATCTCCGTTAAGTGAACACCTTTCATGTTGTGACAGACACAAGCACATCTGTATCTGGAGCCAGCAGTTTAGCACTGTCACTCAGAAGGTGCCAGGCTGTTGGGTCAGATGGCATGAAGTCACCTAGCCTGACCAGAAACACAACGTACCGGTGAGCCGGCTTCAGATAAAATGTATGTTTCGTGAAGAAAGAAAACGAAACAAAAACCACAAATCGACTCCTTACCCTGCTCAGGTTCCATGTCTTAGCGACACGTAAGCTTTAAAATTAGGGACATGTTTCAGTTTTTCTAATCTTCCTATTCTAATTATTTAAGCTTTAAGTGTTTCATAGTTCTAAAATGTCACTTTCATGATAGAATGTTCTCTGGGTAGAATTTTGATTTAAAGTATATTGAACTCAGATACATACTTTCTGTGGCCTCTTTTTCTAAATGCTTTGTTCCTCTTAATTGTGCTCTTCTGGGAGAGTTGTCATTATAAATTTGGTCATCTTGTTTTCATGTACACAGGAAGAATTCAAAAGAAGAGATGTTGAAGACCACGTAACAATGAGACAAAGGAGAATTAAGAGAAGCCTGGTGGGCACACCCGCCACCCACCGCAGGAAAGTATCTACAGGAGTGATATGTTTATAACATTGTCCAAGTAAAAAACTGAGAGCTCCATAAATAAATGGATCTAAGCACCAAATTTTGGAAGCTGTTAACATCCAAAGGAAGAAAAGAGAGAGAAGATAACCTTTTACAAGCTGGCTTTGCCAATCTATTGCTCCCCAAACAAAGCTCCTTCAAAGGAACCTGGACCCAAGCAAATCTTTAGGTCTAATCCCCAGTTTGCAGGTGTGAAGAAGTTACAGGATCATGGAAAATCACATGACAAGGGTATAAGCAGCAAGACCGGAAGTATGGGAAACTGAAAAATGAAATGACTTGCTTTCTTCAATTGAAAAGTACAATCAAACAACACAAGTGAAGGGCAAATGAAGGTCTAATGTATATAGTAGAGACTTAAGTCAGATCAACCAGTCATAAAATATAGTTATCATCTGGATCCTGGCAGAACTAACAAAATGTAAAACTGCCCCAAGAGCATTTATGATACTTACGAGCTCATCTGATCTCTAAAAAAGACCAGATATTTATTCATT